GGTCATCATTTCTGCTTGGATGGCAGCAACTTCCTGTCATTTCCAATATTGCACGTGTCCTGAATACAAGGGTACTGTTCATTTTTAATTTATTCAAGTGACATTCTCATTCCTGCCGCCGTCTACATGTTATAACGCCGCATAGCACTTTTTACGATACATCACTTCAGAATGTGATGCTGTAAAATTAGTCATATTTTATATTACAAGGAGGAAAGTTTTCTTTCAAATATATTTCCCCAGGGATGGAGAGATTTGTGTATGATGATTCCAAAAGTATAATATATCAGGAAATAAACTGGTTCTAAAAAGCAGAGAGGTAATACATTTGTGGTTTCCACATGATATGCATTTTCTGTTGATTTTACCTGTATTTCTTTCCAAAAAAGGTAAAGATGTAGAGAAAGCATGATAAACTCCCATAATGAGATGTTGGCTGCCAGCATTTCTTTTATTCTTTAGAGCAATTTTAAAGGTCATTTTGCTAAAGAAGACCTATTACAAGAGTGGAAAACAAAGATATTTTAATTAGTAAAAAGGTAGATGTCATAATGTAGTTATTCTAAAGCATTTAAATTAGCGAAGTTGCATTTAGGTCATTCATTCCAGAAAAGGTGTCTTGTCAACTGATGTTTAGTGTCGAGAAAGTCACATCATCAGTTACGTGTCATGTTCTGCGGGTAGCTTCCATTTTACTTTTGGAACTCTTAAGAAACCTATAATAATTCTGCAGTTTATTGCCAGCACTAGGTGTCCAAATAAAACAGGCTCATGAACAGTTTCTTCACGGTATAAATCAGTTCCTACGGGTCTCCCCCGCAAACACTAGAGACTATAGCATACAATTATCACGTTCCGCAGAGACTGAAAGCAGCAGCAAAGGCCAGCAGCCGCAGCATGTGTAATGGATAGAGGTCTAGTCAGACTGGAAGCAGCTTGAGCTTAGGTGTGGAGTAGCTGGGTGAGTTGGCACATGACTTACCCTCTCTGGGCCTCAGTTGTTTGCTCAGAACAAACAATAACCATCTCATGGAGATGTGGGAATTATGAAATAATAAGATATCAAATGCCTATCTTAGGGTAGGCATCCTGCACATGTTTATTTCCATCATCCTTCTTTGCACGGACAAACTGATGCCAATGTTGCTCACAATGATGGATATACTGGAAGGTGAGGAGTGGAGACCGGATAGGGAAGAGGACTGTTCTTGCTGCTCACTGGTGGCAGGAGAACTTTGTTCTCTTGACCCCAGGAATGATGTTCTCAGGAGATCTGCCTCATAAGAATCTCAGCCTAGAGCTGAGCTTTTCCAAACAAATGCCAATAGAGTATTTCTCGTTTGCCAAAGGATTTTAAAATAATGAAAGTCACCAGGTTCTAGCCATCTGAAACTTCTGACTCTCCCAGCATGAGAGGGTTAAATTTTTTCAGTGCTTTGAAGAGTTATATTTTATGAGCTCTGTGATAATGCTAAAACATTTTACTTTTAAACTAAACTACTTCAAACAGTCATTTAGGGGAATTACAGAGCTATCAGGGATAACCAGAGTGGTAGAAATTCTATGAATTTCATCAACATACTTGTCTATTTATTTTAAAAATATTTTTTATCTCCTAGGAGTGGGTTTTGTTGGCAGTCCTCAACCAATTTCATGTTGGTGGAGAATGTGCTTAAAGGGGAATAAATGCACAGGTGTGTAACAAGAACCCAGAGCCTTCTTCTAAAGAAATAATGACGCCCCTGCAAACAGCACTAATGCAGAATCATTTGTGATAAGGGATGGAAAGTCAAGCTTCTTTTTTAAAACAGATAATCTATAAAGTTGTTCATTTTACCTTTGCTTTGACACACACACAGAACTGATGCCACAGGGGTATCCAGAACAAACTGCTGGGAAGAGGAGTTAAAAAGAATGACTATACAGAAAATTTTATTTATTTATTTAAGCTTTTTATTTTGTATTGGCATATAGCCAATTAACAATGTTGTGATAATTTCAGGTGAACAACAAAAGGACACAGCCACAACTATCTATCTATACATATATACACATACATAGACAAATACATATGCATGTATCCATTCTCCCCCAAACTCCCCTCCCATCCAGGCTGCTGCATACCATTGAGCAGAGTTCCATGTGCTGTACAGTAGGTCCTTGTTGGTCACCCACTTTAAATATAGCAGAGTGTCCATCTCAAACTGCCTAACTACCCCTTCCTTCCATCCTTTCCCTGGGGAACCACAAGTTCGTTGTCTAAGTCTGTGAGTCTCTGTTTTTAAGTACATTTATATCATTTCTTTTTAGATTCCACATATAAGGAATGCCATATGATATTTTTCCTTTTCTGGCTGACTTACTTCACTCAGTGGACAGAATATTTTAAAAAGGAGCTGGTACCTAGCAAAGGAAGGCTGAAGGTAGTGTCACCAAAACTCAAACACAGGCTGGTTCTGCGAGCCCCTCTAAAGCAAAGCTTTAGTGGATCTATTGAAAAAGACCTGAGCTCTACATTCATAAATAGAGTTGATCTGCCCCTCTCCCCACACCCTGTTCACCAGGTTCAGCAAAGACAAGGGTCCCTGCCCTCTCATTCCTACCCTTCACACTCCAGGGTGCCTTTCTTTTCAGCTGCTCAAAGGACCACAGCAGAGGCCCACAGGTTCCTTGTCTCCACAGCATCTCCATGTCCCTGCAGCATCCGTCAGCCGCCTCCCTCTTTCTGAGCCACTTCCTCCGCAGTCAAAGGCTTCAGCCAGGAGCCATGGTAAAAAAAAAAAAACACCAACAACAAAAAACCGCTGATGGACTTAAGATCTCTGAGGGTGACCTGAACCGGAGGAAAAGGAGCTGGCACAAAGGAAATGAACTCATGAATAGCTAAGCGGCATAGGCGGACTCACACAGTGAGTGTGAAACAATGTGGTTTAAATGGGGGCAGGTTAAAAAAAATCCATTCTGTCACTTGTCATCCATATATGGGTAATTGGGAGCAGATAAAAATATGGCTTACTGAAGTTTTACCAACACTCCCCTCTCTTTCCCCAGAGAAGCCTTTCCCACTGTTGAGTCACTGATCAATGAGAAGACCAAAGACGCAAGGGCCGAAAAAGGCATCATAATAAGTGCCTAATCACATCTGCCTGGGTCAGGCAAAATGCAGGACAGCCTCGGCTCGAAGATTTCAGGATGACTGAGTGTGGCTGGACCGCTTGATAGATTTAAATGACTAATATTCATGTTTCTAAAGTTGCATTACTTGAGACCTTACAGATTGTCTAGAAATCTCATACAAGTTCTCTGCTGCAGTCTCAACCACAAAAAGGGAAAGGCTTTTTAAAGTTACAAAGAACCTCATCTTGTCCTGTCCAGGGGAGAGGCTGCAGTTGCTCCCGCAGCATCTGTGGTACCAGCTCCAAGTACTTCGTCCCTCTCAGCATCACAGCGAAAGCGATACCGGCTTCTCTGTCTGAAAACTCTCACGTTTCCCCTTCCTTTGCTTCTTTAAAAAATCAGTATGTTGCACCGCAAATGCTACTCTTATACAAAGAAAACACAGATTAAATGCTTGCTTAGAAAAAGCTTAGGTGTCCTACGTATATCTCTGCAATCTGTCCCTGAAACCGGAGAACTCACTAACGTAACGTGTGTGAATATGCTCTGTAACCGCAGGGTTTTATCAATGTGCATTACGGCGTGCACACTCTTTCAGGTACCTGGGTTTTCCCTAAAAGAAACCAATGGATTTCGGACTGTATCTGTTGTGCATTTATCAGAGGGGTTCGGGGGCAGAACCACACAGCTATTTTCCACCCGTCCCAGAACAAGGTATCTCGGTCGGAGCTCTGCTCCCTGGAGACACGCTCCATACTACCGGCGGCGGCAGTAGCTTCCCTCTGAAAATTAGCCACCTGCCTACCTAGCTCCTTGAAATCATCAGGTTCGGTGCAACACGAGTCTAAAAAGAGGGAAAGAGGCTTTCAATGTGATGGAGTTAGTGGTGTGGAGCAGGAATTTAGGGATGAAGAGCATACAGGCAACGTGTGACAGTCGAAGTTCCCCCGCCGCAGAGCTGGCCGCTGCCTTTGCAAGTCGATTTTCTCCCCTGTTAGTTTCAAACACCTTCTCAGCTCCCCTCCACTTATACGCTTCAACACGCTCAAAGTATTCGAGGCCTCATTACCCAGAAAGAAATGAGAAAATCAAGGAACATTAAAAGGTTGATAGGAACTGCGCAAAGGGTTTAGAAACACTAAAATCAACAGCGGCGGTGCCGCAGTTTCACGTGTGTGTGTGTGTGTGTGTGTGTGTGTGTGTGTGTGTGTGTGTGCACTCGCGTGTGTAGGAGGAGCGCATGAAAGAATTAATCAGGTGAAAAAGATAAAGTGCCAGAAAGAGCTACAGAGATATAGAAAACTTTCCTCCATATATGCCGCATACATGCAACCTTAGACAATCATTTGTATCGCCAATGCCCTGGAGGCACCATAAATACCAGGGGCATGCTGAACCCCGGTGGGGAAGGGGCGACTTAGAGGGGTAGTGTGTCTCCATGGTACTGGGTGGGGTATGGAAAACTAAGGTGTCTGATTATTGTTGGCACGATCGAATCCGAGTAATACAGGGGTCAAGGATTATGTAGGATGGGGTGGGGTTAGGGAAAGGAAATGAGTGAGGGGGTTCGGGGTCTGAGAGAAAACAGAGGGTCTCAGAGAAAAGTGCAAAGGACTACAGCCGCAGCATCCCCGCGGGCCGCGGCTCGCCCCCACCTTCCTTTTGCGCAGAATCCTTGCCTTGGCTGCAGCAGCGCGCTGCCCCCACTGGCCAGGCGCGCCGTGATCGATCGCGGCTGCGTCAGAGTCCTCTCCGATATAAATAGGGGTGGCAGGACCGAGCTGAGCCGCACACAGCCATCCATCCTCCCTTCTCCCTCTCTTCCCCGTTCTTCTCTCTAGGCCCCCATCTCCGCCGCCGGCCAGGGGGCACCGACCGGCACCATGAGTTCCTTCAGCTACGAGCCGTACTACTCGACCTCCTACAAACGGCGCTACGTGGAGACGCCCCGGGTGCACATCTCCAGCGTGCGCAGCGGCTACAGCACCGCGCGCTCCGCTTACTCCAGCTACTCCGCGCCCGTCTCCTCCTCGCTGTCCGTGCGGCGCAGCTACTCCTCCAGCTCCGGCTCCTTGATGCCCAGCCTCGAGAGCCTCGACCTGAGCCAGGTCGCCGCCATCAGCAACGACCTCAAGTCGATCCGCACCCAGGAGAAGGCGCAGCTGCAGGACCTCAACGACCGTTTCGCCAGCTTCATCGAGCGCGTGCACGAGCTGGAGCAGCAGAACAAGGTCCTGGAAGCCGAGCTGCTGGTGCTGCGCCAGAAGCACTCCGAGCCCTCCCGCTTCCGGGCGCTCTACGAGCAGGAGATCCGTGATCTGCGTCTGGCAGCGGAAGACGCCACCAACGAGAAGCAGGCGCTCCAGGGCGAGCGCGAGGGGCTGGAGGAGACCCTGCGCAACCTGCAGGCGCGCTACGAAGAGGAGGTGCTGAGCCGTGAGGACGCCGAGGGCCGGCTGATGGAAGCGCGCAAAGGGGCAGACGAGGCGGCTCTCGCCCGCGCCGAGCTCGAAAAGCGCATCGACAGCCTGATGGACGAAATCGCCTTTCTGAAGAAAGTGCACGAAGAGGAGATCGCCGAGCTGCAGGCGCAGATCCAGTACGCACAGATCTCCGTGGAGATGGACGTGTCCTCCAAGCCCGACCTCTCCGCCGCGCTCAAGGACATCCGCGCCCAGTATGAGAAGCTGGCCGCCAAGAACATGCAGAATGCCGAAGAATGGTTCAAGAGCCGTTTCACGGTGCTGACCGAGAGTGCCGCCAAGAACACCGATGCTGTGCGCGCCGCCAAGGACGAGGTGTCCGAGAGCCGCCGCCTGCTTAAGGCCAAGACCCTGGAGATCGAAGCATGCCGGGGCATGAACGAAGCGCTGGAGAAGCAATTGCAGGAGCTAGAGGACAAGCAGAACGCCGACATTAGCGCTATGCAGGTAAGGCGCCGGGCGAAACGCAGAGGGGGCGGGGAGGGTGCTGCAGAATCGAGTTAGGATGGGCGGGAGTGGGGGTGGTGCGGAGAGTTGGCGCGCCTAGAAAGAGGAGAACAGAGGTGAGGCTTCCGCAAGCAGATTTTAAGGGGTGGAACTTGACTTCTTGGAGGAAGTGTGGGAGGGGGTGGGGCCCTTGGACGGCGGCGGGGGCGCGACTGCGGTGTGCTAAGAGGTGCTGAGTGCAGTTGGATCTCCGTTCCTCAATAAAGCTGCCCAGCCCTGCAGGATATTGGGTGGGGCTGGGTGGAGGGACTGGACCTGGACTTGGCCTCTGGTCTGCCTCTCTGCTGTCCTGCATTCAACGCAAGTTGCTTTGCTGCAGAGTGGATCATCTGATTAATAAATACAGCGACGAGCTCTCATTAGTTATGAAGGATAACTGTGACCAGTTATCCTTTCTGACTAGTTTTACCAACCACTGTCTTCCCTTAGCAGTGAGGCAGGAATACAGTCAAAATTGTGATGATGGTCACAGTAAAACATTTCTTTTTTTAAAAGGATCTCCATTTTTCTGGAGAGAAGAAAAAATAAGATAGATACATAGAAAATATTTTAGAGATAATAAATTTAAATTTATCTACTTCATTCTCCTATAAATAAGTGGATTTTTGTATATAATCTGGATAAAGTTGATAAAGCTAACTAATGAGTGAGAAACAATTTTTTAAAAATCCATTTAGTTCTTTGCAGGCATTTTATGATGATCATTAGGTGTATTAATTAATGAAAACAAAACATTTTTCTTCTATCAGTTTTTTTTTTCTCTTTTTTTGGTTTTCATCTCTTGCTTTGTGAAGGTGGATTTTTTTTTTTTTAAGGCAAGCAAAGAAAGGCTTAAAAAGAAAAACGACAGTTATTTTAGGGGAGATTTTTTTCTAGGATGTGCACGTTGATTTTAATTAAACCTAGGCCTTTGCAGCTATGCTGTAGTAAAATGATAGTAGTGGAGATTTACACTTAGATTTTTTTTTTTCGGTTGTCTTCCAACAGGACACGATCAACAAATTGGAAAATGAATTGAGAACCACAAAGAGCGAAATGGCAAGATACCTCAAGGAATACCAAGACCTCCTCAATGTCAAGATGGCTTTGGACATTGAGATTGCAGCTTACAGGTAAAAACGGAAGTGCCAAGGTAGCAGCCTGTCAGCCTTAGAAGATCAGACTTCCTTTGTGTTGAATCAGAAACCTTCAAAAATAGTCCTTTGGAGTAATTGTGTTACTTTTTGGCCTTTTCCAAGAAGAATTTAATCCTGTAATAATGAGGCCTATTCTTAGCTTCCCATTACATTTCAAGTGTAACGAACAGGACTATATTTTAAGGCGCTTTTTTCGTTGTTGTTTTGTGTATTTCTCCTGGGCTCAGTCACAGCATCCCCAGTTATAATAATTCCCAACCCTGCCTTTGCCTTTCAGCCTGGCATTGGGGAAGGTGGCGAGTGGCGGGCTGAGCACATTTCCGGTGTTCATGTTTGTTAACCCCTGCCTCCCCAGGAAACTCTTGGAAGGTGAGGAGACCCGGCTGAGTTTCACGAGTGTGGGCAGCCTGACCACCGGCTACACCCAGAGCTCCCAGGTCTTCGGCCGATCTGCCTATGGCGGTTTGCAGACCAGCTCCTATTTGATGTCCGCCCGCTCCTTCCCGTCCTACTACACCAGCCACGTCCAGGAGGAACAGATCGAGGTGGAGGAGACCATCGAGGCTGCTAAAGCCGAGGAAGCCAAGGACGAGCCCCCCTCTGAAGGAGAGGCGGAGGAGGAGGAGAGGGAGAAGGAAGAGGCCGAGGCCGAGGCCGAAGCCGAAGCTGAGGCTGAGGAAGAGGAGGGAGCCCAAGAGGAAGAAGGTAGGATTAGAACAAAACACAAAACCAAATAAAAAGCAAAACCACCCTGCGACTCCGGGGGCACCGTGGGCATGGATATTGGTTAGGAGGTGGGTAAGATACATGAAACCTCACTCATGCCCAGGAAATGTTATTCAGATAAGAGGTGATGATCTTAAAAAGAAAATACATCTTTCTATTTCCTCAACAGATCTTTAGTAAGCACCTCATTGCTCAAATTGGCTGTTCTCCCAGAGACACACGATCTCTGATTAGCATGGTACTTTTTTGAAAGTAACATAAGAAAAGAAAGAAAATCCTCCTGCTGCTTTTTATTCCTAATTAAACATTTTAAAATCTATTCATTTAACTCAGCCATTTGGTGTCCTAAAAAACGAAAATGAATTCCGAACACATAATAAAAGAAAACCCGAGGTCCTGGAAAGAACAGAGCATCCAGTACCTAGAACGTAATCCATTCTATTTAAATATCTGTTCAGTGGCAAATTGTGCCCAGCAGGTGTGGTTGCTTGGTTGCATGGAGAAAGAGGTTTGGGGGAAGTATTCTGACACTTGTATTTCTCCACACAACTAAAGCAGAAATGTTTTGATTGGACTCACCCTGCATTTGGAGTTTGTACATTTGCTTTTTATGTTAAAGCTGCCAAGGAAGACGCTGAGGAAGCAAAGGAGGAAGAAGAAGGAGGTGAAGGCGCAGCAACAGAAGAAACCAAAGAAGCGGAGGAGGAAGAGAAAAAAGATGAAGGTGCTGGGGAGGAGCAAGCCACCAAGAAGAAAGACTGAGCCCTTCCCTTCCCTTAATTATTCCAGGAGTAATTCTCCCGAATTCAGGTCAACCCTATCACCAACCAACCAGTTGAGTTGCAGATACTATATGAATTAAGAAGTCAATCTATGTATAATTCTGAGATGACTTAGGCTGGACATTAAATGTTGTGCTATGAATCTTCTCCTTCCGCAGAGTACCTGTCTGCTTGCAGAGTGGCTTCCTGGCTTGCTGCCAGCCTGTGCATGGTTCGCTTATGAGTTCAGGATCTATGGCAATGTGAATAATTCAGATGTTTACAATTAAAAAACCACACCATGAATAAATGAATTCACTAATGTTAATGTTAAACTTCATGGGGAAAAAATAGTCCTTTGAATCTTTGGTGGTTAGAAATTAAAGACCTCAAATTATGTGCAATAAATAGTAAATAAAGTTACACTGAATGACGTTCCTTGCTGTGCTTGTTGACTTAATTCAGATATCTTAAAGAGGGCACCAATAGCAGACACGTAGATGCAGACTATTGACTTCCAAATTTTTTCAAGTCAAAATTTTAACAATTACAATGCACTTTCCCCCCTTAATTGGTAATTCTGAGGATACGATTAGGTCATGACCATTCATGAAGTCTCTACTCTCGAAAATTTTACTGACAATAAACTTGAATAAATGAGAATCCCTGGGGTTCTCTTCCTTTGGTAAATAGCAATATACTTTGCCCTGTAAGTGTACTGTATAATATTGGGAATGGCTTTTTTGGAGGCAGTCTGAATCATGTTTACCTTTATGGTAAACAGGTAACTTGAACACTAATATATAATAGTAAAAGCATATGGGTAGAATGTGAATCCCACTCATCTGTCACTGTAACCACATTTAAAAAGTATAGCCTAACTATCATGAGCAGAAGTTGAAGCCCAAGCAAATCAGAAGGAGTAAATTTTTCTCAATGTGTAATTTTTAAGGGAGTTAAGAATATTGAAGCTTATTTGCCATTGCAAACATGTTGCCTGCAATCCTGAGCTCATGGTTGAGTGTGTAGTTAGCTTAATTCTGTTGCCTCAAGTAGCCTTCAATACCACCTATTTCAATTTTTTAAGAACTACAGATATAGATAATGAAACTGTGATCAGTCACTAAAGGGGGCGGGATTCTATACTTGTGTGTTACATTGCCATAGGTCTGCATGTCTTTATTGGGAACTATTTGGATTTCAGTGATAGCTCCAACTGGTTGGACATTGCATCAAATACACACCCCCACCCGTCCATCCCGTTCACTGTAAAGTTATGAAAGCTCTTGCACTTGCACTTGATGTGAAATGTCAATGAAATTGCTGATTATCCTTTGTTCTGCTTCTGTTCTTAAGACAATTGCTTTGTCAGCTAAGGTTGTTCAATATTTGTTGTTTAGACACCTCTTAAAGGTCATGAATTTAATCTGGAAGCAAAGTGGTCTCCATTTAAAGTTTACAGATCCCATCACACCACATATTTCGAGTTAAATATATCTCACCAAAGCAAATATGTAAAATATTTCTTTATCTGCCCTGATGCTATGGATTTGAACTATGAGGATTCTCCGTACATTGGCTTCTGTAAAGACTAGGAGTTGCCTCAGAAATCAAGCTTTTCACATTTATGTTCATTACACATGGGATGCTGCACATGGTCAATTTCAGACAGAAGCAAATTACATGTGAAAAAGTAACCTTAGCGAAATGGAAATGGTTGGTTTGAGAATTTCTTGAAGTAAGAACACTGTACCATACTCTATCCTGTGTGCCATAATAAAATACTGAAAAATCTAAACTGATTGGATTTGGAGTCTTTAAAAAAAATATTCCTCAAATGTGGTACCTTGGCCAATCTCCCTCTCCCTTCTGCTCCTCTCAAACTCTTGTTCTGTATTCCCTCCCCTAGTTAATGATGTCACTCCCCAGCCATCCAGTTCTGCAGACCAGAGATCGGGCATGCTATCATCCTCCCATTTCCTCTCTCCAATCTTTCTGTTCTAATCTATCATCAAAGCCTATTGATTTTATTACCTAGGTATCTTCAATCCATCCACATTTCCCTATTGACACTGCCACCACCCTAAGGAACCTCATGTCCTGGCTCCAGGGACTCTTTTCGTGGAAGACAGTTTTTCCATGGACCGAAGGAGGAGGGATGGTTTCAGGATGATTCAAGAGCATTACATTTATTGTGCGCTTTGTTTCTATTATTATTAATTATTACATCAGCTCCACTTCAGATCAACAGGCATTAGATCCTGGAGTCTGGGGACTCCTGTTTCAGAGAAAGGTAATCTTTAGAAAAGGGAATTGTGATCACACTGTCTCTTTGATTAAAATGCTCCAGTAGTTCTCCATTTAATATAAAACCCCAAATCTTTAAGATGACCTTCAAGGTCTGTCTAGACTTGACCTGAAACTACTTCTCAAGCCTCACCCTCTGTGTACCCCTTTCCCCTCGCTCACTTTGGTGTTCTGGCCACCCCTGCCCTCTGTAAATGTTTTGGCTGCTTTCTCTGTTTGGAACACTCATCTTTTCTATCCTGTCCTCAGCCTTGCCCAGATTTAAGCTCAACTGTCATTCCCTTGGGGAAGTCTTTCCTGATGGAACCAAATTCCTCTACTAAGTGTGTTTATAAGCATCACTGACTCAATTGACATGAACTTGAGCAAACTTGGAGCTAGTTGAGGACAGGGAAGCCTAGTGTGAAACCCCCTGAAGTCCATGGGGTTGCAAAGAGTCAAACATGACTTAGTGGCTGAACAACAACAAGATACTTACACAGTCGGAAGTGGCATCTATTTTCACAATCATTTAGCAAATGTCTGCAACCTCTACTGTAGAGTGGTCCTCAGAAACATGGCAATCAGACCTTTTGCTCCTCAGCATCTAGCATCATTCCTATCACTGGGCATGCTTAGTCACTCAGTGGGGTCCTACTCTTTGTGATCCTTTGGACTATAGCCCATCACACTCCTTGTCCATGGGATTTACCAAGCAAGAATACTGGAGTGGGTTGCCATTTCCTTCTCCAAGGGATCTTCCTGACCCAGGGATTGAACCCTTGTCTCTAGCGTCGCCTGCTCTGCAAGTGGATTCTTCAACTGCTGAGCCTTCACAGTAAATGTTGATTGAATTAATACCTTCTTGGTAGGCTAAAATGCCTTTGTGGTGACTAGAAAGTCAAGAGTATTCAATACTCAGTCCCAGGCCAGTGAACACTCGTGAAAGGAGCAGAGAACCAAAAATCAGCTGTCTATTCTTGGTTTTAGTGTTGTTTGTTAGGGAAGGCTGGCCAGCCCCAGCTCCACCCCAACTGTGGCCTCAGTCTTCTTAGCTACAAAAGGCTTTAGCATTTAATTTCTCAGATCCACTCTAGATTAATGATTCAAAATTTCCTGAAAAGCTTTTAAAAGTTCAAGATAAATGGCTGAATGGGAAATATACATATCACTATTAGGTCCACACTGAAGTCCATCACTTAAAGGGAATTGCTTAACTTCATGTAAAGTTTCTTCCCTAGCCTTAAGTTGGTTAGCAATTAATTGGGTTGCTTTTTTTCCCTCCATGGAGATTGTAGTGCTATAAGAATATGTGCTGTCCCAGGCGTTGATCTAAGTGCATTATTAATATGTGTCATCTAATGGATTTCTTTCTTATGACAATGTTATCAGTCCAGTATGATTATCATCCCCATTTTACAGATGAGTTGTTAAGTGACTTGACCAAGGTCACAAGCTAGTTTGTGGCAGGCTGAGAGCCAAATCTCCCATGCATGCATGCCTCCTAATTTGTTTTGGTTGTGTCCAACTCTTTGTGACCCCATTGACTGTAGCCTTGGGGCTCCTCTGTCCATGGGATTTACCAGGCAAGAATACTGGAGTGAGTTGCCATGTCCTCCTGCAGGGAATCTTCCTGACCCAGGGATCTGACCTGCATCTCTTATGTCTCCTTCAATGTCAGGCAGGTTCTTTAGCACTAGTACCATGTGGGGAGAGCCCCTCAAATATCCCAGGCCAGCTCTAAAGTCCATGCTCTCAACCAACTATTGCACTGACTATCCTTTGCGGTCCAGCTTGGGAATTCCTTGTGGAATCAGAGCATATTTTCACAGGCATGTGTTGTGACAGCACCTTGGAAACTTTCACACAATCACCGGCATTCTTACAGTCTTTGTAAAGTTCAAGGGCACATCTGCATTCACAGTGTTCCACTGCAGTTACTGAGAATGCTTAAGTTTTTCTTCCAATCCTTTGATTATTTATGTCCATATAAGTTCTTCTGCCAAATTTTAAGCTTCAGGAAGACAAGAACCAGGTTTTATAAACAGAGATGAATTTGAGGTTTATTTTCAAAGATCACAAATGTTTAGGATCAATCCCAATCATTTATTTCTTAATTTCCACAAATCAGGAATTTAGGGATGGCTTTGCTGGGATGTTCTGACTCTGGGGCTCTAGTGGTGTTGCAGTCAGATGTTGTATGAGGTTACTGTTATCTATCTGGAGGCTTGATTAGGCCTCCAGAATCTACTTTAAGGTGGCTCACTCACTAGGATGGCGATTTCTTGTCCGTGTGGGCTCTTCTGTGCAGCCGCTTGCAGATTCTTGCAACATGGCAGCTGGCTGCCCCTGGAGCATGACATTCAAGAAATCAAAGCTATGCCTCTTATGACCTGGTTTAGAAAGACACACATCATCACTACCATTGTTCTACTGGTTGCAGAGACCAGTCTGTCTGATTCATTGTGGGAAGGAACTACACAAGGACATGAGCATTGAGTATGAAGGCAGGGGCTTCCATAAAGTTGTTAATTATGGGCATTATTTCTTTTACGAATAGCAATCATCCACTTAAGAAATTCTGAAACCATTTCAGGTTCAAATATCGTGCTCTATTGTTCTCATTCATGTACTCATTCTTACCTGATCATGTGTCCTAATTGAAGTTTAAAAATATGTTTGTGAAAACTATGGACAGCCTGGTAATGAATATATTAATGGTTATTTTCAGCTTGTCCTTCTAATGAAGGATTTCTTTAGTAATACCCCTAGTGGGATATCTGTTCAAAGGGTCCTAGGCATTTTACTAGTTTACATTTTACTAGTTCCTCATCTGTATCCCCACATTTTTTTTGTCTTTTTGTAAAACAATATTTAAATATTTACTTGGCTCCATTGGTTCTTAGTAAAGCACACAGGCTTCTCCAGTTGCGGTGCGAGGGCCTACAACATGTGGAATCTTAGTTTCTCCACCAGGGATCGAACCTCATCTCCTGCACTGGAAGGCAGATTCTTAACCACTGGACCACCAAGGAAGTCTCCACAATTTTTTTTTTTTTTCCTATAAAGCATCGTAGCTATACTTCAAGGCCTTAACTTCCCTGCATTAATTCATTTGAAATGCAGTATTAGTCTAGTTAACTGAGATAAATACAGTGGCAGCTAATATAGAACTTAAGGTGTTAAGAAAAATAAGTGCTTATTGTTTTATTAGATGGTCAGACCCATCTGAGTTGACACCTTAGATTTTTTTAATACCTTCAGGTCTGATACAGTACACACATGACTTTAAAGTGGATATATCTAATAAACACAAGTTATATAGATTACAAAAAATCAAATATGAAATGGCTTTATAAAAAAAAACTGAAATGCTCTATGTTTCTCACTTTGAGAGGCTCAGGTTTCTGGAGCTATTAAAGACATTTTTGCTTGTGTACTGATGACCATTAATTCCTCTGCTTTTAGCATAATGCCATTCTTTCAGTCTATAACCACCCCACATCCTTATTAATTTCATGTGGAGTACAGACCATTTCCTGATATAACCATTTAAAAGAAAACAACTACCAGGAAGGATGCTTTGATGCAGCAAAACAAATATTCCCTTTTTATTCTATAACCAGACCACTAGGAAAGACAGAAACCCTACATTAAAATCTCTATCTGCATTTTACTTGCAACTTACCTGCATGGCTGAAGAGGAAAGAATAATGTACTCATTCTGACTTGTTGGTTTGTTTGGAGTCATTTATTTACTGGTGAATCTCACCTTTTTACTTCAGAAGAGAGAGATGCCCCCCCACCCTTCCTGTTTTTCTTCCTCCCACGAAGACAACCACACAGGAGAATATGTGGAAGAGAGCATCTCAGCTGTAAGTCACAAATCATTCTCACTTTGAGACAGAAAAACTGGTGTCAGAAGTGTGAAATCGGAGGGCGATATTGAGGTGAGAGTAAGACGCATCACCTTCTCCGGACACGGACTCAGGGTGTTAGTCGGTAGGCCCCCAGGGTTGGCTGGGTTCCGAAGACTAAAAGCCGTGGTGACATGTCCTGTGTCCCCGGGAGGAGGGGACGGGGGTGGATAAGCGAACCAGGGCTACCTCAGTGACTTAGAGCACCTGGGATGAAGAATAAAGGAACAGAGACTGAGCTTGCTCCGTTTCCCCTCTGTCCTGCCCTTAATTCCTCCCAATTTCTTCCAAATAGCAGAAACTAGGAAGTGTGACTTCTGAAAGTGTTTTAACCACTGAGAACCTCCGAATTCTCCAGACGATAGAGAGGGTGCTGATTTCAGCTTTTACAGCATCTCTTCTGGGTGTGTGGGGGTGCGGATGGGGCCACAACCCTTAAACAAATGGCCCCTTCTCAAGCAAAACAAGCAATCACTAGGTCGTTTTTTTGGAGGGGGTGGGGAGTGGGAGGGATATTATTTAGACCCCATATCCTTAGCTAGGTGGACACGAATGGACTCAATGAGTTTGAGCAAACTGTGGGAGATAGTTAAGAACAGGGAAGTCTGGCGTGCTGCAGTCCAGAGTGTCGAAAAGAGTCAGATACGACTGAGCAACTGACCAGCAACATCTTCATCTTATTTTTCCCAGAGAGGCAAGACAGCCTTCTTGTTTTTCCAGTTAGAAGCCTTGAAGCCCCGCCCCCCTCCCGTTCCCACCTGTAAAACAACACTGCTCAAACTCAGGGATAATTTAAACAAAACGAGAAGAAACGTGCTTCCTTTAAGCCACTGGCTGTTTCTCGAAGAGATGGAGGTCTGCTTCTTGACGAAGATATCTGTCTCATTTCCCAGGCTGGACCTCGCGGCAGCAAGATGCTCCGACACCTCCTCCCCCGCCTGCGGTGTGGGGGAAAGCAGGAAGGCCTCCGGGGTCGCCCCCCTCTGCTCCCGGCCCCCTTCTTCCTTCCGGGACTCCCGCCAGCCCTTGGTGTGGCGTCCTCTGTGAGGAGCTGGGCGTGCTTCCCGACAGGCTCGGGAGCATCTGATGGTGTTTTAGGATTTCACTGGAAATATGTAACATTTAATCATCTTTCTGTGGTTTAACAACAAACCTCCCTAGCCTGTGAGAATCTAATGAACTGAGTTGAAAGGCTTTGAAAAATAAAAACTGTCTATCACTTTTTTGCTCCCCGCCCCGCTTTGAGAGCAGACATTCCCCCTCGGGTTTCTGCACATTCAATTCTGCCTCAGAGTCACCGCTTCCCTGGTGGCTCAGTGGTAAAGAATCCGCCTGCCAGTGCAGGGGAGATGGATTGGATCCCTGGGTCAGGAAGATCCCCTGGAGGAGGAAATGGCAACCCACTCCAGCATTCTTGCCTGGGAAATCCCATGGACCGAGGACCCTGGGGGCGGGGCGGGGGCTACAGTCTATGGGTCGCAAAACGTGGGACACGACTAAATGATTGAGCAGCACGGAGCCATCGCAGCCTCCAAAAGCCCCAGGTCACTGTATCTTCTTCATGGGGCATGGGGGGTGGAAAGGGCTATAAGGCGGCTTCCATCGCTTGGTACCTAGACGGAGCCCAAGGATGCTTTCTGCCTGAAACTTTGCACTGCGCACAGCCCGCATCTCCCTGCTGAGTGCGATCTCTGCAAAAAGTGCAAAAAGCCGCGGCTGCTAAGTCTTACCCTTGGAAGACTCTCACCTCCACGCCACCCGCGTAAATAGTACGGCTCGGAGATTTAATATATTTTAAAGCAGACCGGGTGACACATTTTTTTCATCAGGAAGTCATTTGGGATGGAGCGGAGAAAGGAATGGGAGATGCTACCGGAATCTTGTTTTTGCTAGATCTTTCTCCAAGTCGAACGCCGCAGAGGCGCCACGCCCTCTGCGTCCTGGCGGCGGGCTGGCGCGACCTGGAGCACCGCCAGAAACGCAGCGCGCTGCTGAAAGGAGAGGCTTGGAGGTGGGTGGGAGTTCTTTCTGGAAACTTATATCACCGGTTCTTCTCTGTAACCGGAGAGATCGTGGGAGGTGGGGAGGTCGGGAAGCCCAGGAGCGAACGAGGAAGGGGGCACCCCTTGCCCACTGAGGCTTGGCCTGGAGCTCAAGACGTTCTGAAATTTGATTTTAAAGTAAAGAAGCTGGACTCTGAGGCTGTGGCCATGCTGCAGTGGGTGTGGAAGCTGGAGAGAGGAGATCACGCAGAAGTTACGCGGCGAGCCTAGAGCCTGCGGATCCAGACTCTTTAGTGGAGCCTGGGCCGGCTGCCTTTGGAGCACTTGCTTGTTAGAAATGCAGTCATAGCCCCAGTCCAGGCATTCTGAACTAGTATCAGTGAAAGTGTTAATCACTCAGTCGTGTCAGACTCCGTAGGGTCTGTGTGACCCTATGGACTGTACAGACCCTATGGACAGATGCTATGAATTGTCAGTCGAATCAGACAGTCCATAGGGCAGTACAGATCCTATGGACTGCAGCCCTCTAGCCTCCTCTGTCCGTGGAATTCTCCAGGCTAGAATACTGGAGTCGGTTGCCATTTCTTTCTGTAGGGTATCATCCAGACCCAGGGATTGAACTCAGGCCTCCGGCATTGCAGGCAGATTCTTTACTGTCTGAGCCGCCAGGGAAGCCCAAAGCGAAGAATGCCAACGGAAGCACCGCTGCATTTAACCAGATGCTCAGGTGATTCTGGAGCAGGTAGTGAGAATCTCTAGTAAGGTGTTGCGTTGGGGACTGCAGCTCACTGCCCCCTATCCCAGCCCCTACTCCCACCACCGCATAATGCACATAGATGTGGCAGGGGAGACCTTGAAGAAGGTAGGAGAAGACTGCTGCTTAACAAGAGGCTGAATGTTCTTCATCTGCATGTAACTAGAAATGGCAACCCACTCCAGTACTCTTGCCTGGAAAATTCCATGGACGGAGCAGTGTGGTAGGCTACAGTCCACGGGGTTGCAAACAGTCAGACATGACAGCGACTTCACTTCACTAGCTAAGTACTGGGGGAAGGCAAGAGGTTATCCCCTGGTTTTCTAAACATCCACTCACTACCCCATACTGCAGGCCAGAAGAACCAGTGTGGAATCTTGAGGGCCAGTGTGCACTTCCCTCTGAAGGCCTGTTGAGGTAGGGCTGGGCACCTCTCTTTTATGATGTTCTGGAGCCTTCCTTCTCTGAATGGTAGAGGCTGCCCAGGCCCCTATGGCAGAGCCATATGAACTCAGAGGGGACTCTGAATAAAAGTTACCAGTGTATGTTCCCTTGTCATCTCCTCAGGATAGAGGTGGTGATGTTAAAAAAATGCACAATAAATAATTCTCCTGTTAAAAACAAGACAGTAATCCACAAATGGAGTCACTTAGCTCAGTCCCTGTCATCAAATTGAGACTCAGTTACAGTTTTGGTCTCTCCCGGAAATGGAGGGTTAAACCAGTCAATCAGAAATCCTCTGGTCAGCACAAGTGAGGTCATCAGCCTGATAGACGCCCCGCCACGCTGTATCCTAGAGGGAAGTGTGACCATGGCATGCCTTCATGGGATTCTTCAGGCAAGAATGCTGGAGTGGGTTGCCATTTCCTCTTCCAGGGGAACTTACCAATCAAGGGACTGAACTTGCAGCTCCTGTGTCTCCTGCATGGGTAGGCAGATTCTTCACCACTGTCATGCAAAAGTCATACAGGTAAAGGGTACAACCATCCAGGGAGCTGAGGTCAGAGCACACTCAGTAGGTTGGGATAAGAATGAGGAGGCTGGTGTGGTCAGATGTGTGTGCCTGAAGTTCAGTGCTTGATATACAAGTCTTGCAATTTTTTTTTTTAAGATTTTCTTGATGTAGATCAATTTTAAAGTGATTATTGAATTTGTCACAATATTGCTTCTTCTTTTTTTAAATTTTGGTTTTTTTGGTTTTTTTTTGGTGGAGGAGGATGTGGGATCTTAGTTCCCTGATCGGGGATCAAACCTGTGCCCCCTGCACTGGAAGGGGAAGTCAGCCACTGGACTGCGAGGGCAGTCCCCTTGCTACTGTTTGGCAGTTTTCCCTTCAGTCCTCTAAGCAGTGATAATATAATATAATAGGATGATAGAACTCCAAAGTAAGAAGCTACCTAAGAAATAATTTCTTATTTTAAATACAACAAAACAGAGATTTAGGGTGGGTAAATTGCCTTGCCATTGGTTTTAGCCGAGCTGGAACTAGATTCTCAGATTCCAGTGTATTTTCCCTGACCTACAGAGTGCTGCCTCCTCAGAAAAAGATGTTATTGTTATTTCAGCTCTTTATTGATGGCCCAGATTTTAGCAGACTGTGTTGCTTAGTAAAAAATAGTCTTGTTTGGTTATAGCAGCATTAGTACAACAATGAACAGATTGGTACCATTTTAACATGGAATTTTCTTTCCCTCCTGTCTCTGGGGTTTTTTTTTTTTTCTTTCTTTCTTTCTCCTCTCTTTCTGGGATTTTTGGCTTTATTGCTGATTATTTGGGCTTCCTAGGTGATGCAGTGCTAAAGAATCTGCATGCCAGTGCAGGAAATGCAGGAGACTTGGGTTCCATCCCTGGGTTGGGAAGATCCCCTGGAGGGAGAAATGGCAACCCAGTCCAGTTTTCTTGCTGGGAAAATCCCATGGACAGAGGAACCACAGTCCATGGGATCGTACAAGAGTTGGACGTGACTGGGCACATACCTACACGCACATTGATGCATAAAATAGTTCTATCAGAGGTCACCTTGATTTAAGTAAAAGTAAGTGTATAAATCAGGCCAGTCCCAGGAATTCCCTGGCAGTCCAGTGGTTAGGACTCCAAACTCTCACTGCTGATGTTGAGGGCCCAGGTTCAACCCCTGGTCAGGGAACTAAGATCCCACAAGCAGGAAAAAAAAAAAAAAGAAAAAAAAAATCCCACAGCCAAAACCAAAATCAGGTCAGCTCCAAGTGTTGTGAACACTCATTCATCTTCTTTTGCTCTTCAAATCAACAATGAATTATGTAAAAAAAAACAAAAAAAATGCAGTTTGAGGAATCCCTGAAGTTTTCTTCTTTTTAACTATTTGCTTTTGAAATAAACAAGCTGAATTTAACTGCCTAGTTTTGAATTCAGTGAACTAGTTTGAGTAAATCGGAACTTAGACACTGTGTGTAAGTCACAGAGAGAGCCCACACTGTGCTCTTTCTCCCCAAGAGGAGGAACCAGCATTCCAGCGTGGAGAGCAAGGTGGTGATACCCACCCAGTGCTGTCATCTTAGAAGGTATGGCTGTCACTCTAGCAACTTGGAGTCTGAAGCTGTATCTATTGTGAGAGTCCCTTTCTCCAGAGACATGTGGGACATGAAGCTGAAGCATGAGGCGCCGTGGACCATGCAATAAGGCCCATGAAAAGGCCATGAAACAAAGCCAGGCATTTCTTTTTAGAGCAATCATCATTCCTGAGGAATAAAAGCAGATCTTTCTTGCCAGGAATTACTTGATCATGAAGCATCAGAATGAGAAAATGGCTTTGAAAGACTTAACTAATCACGTGGAGCTTGCAAGCTGCCCAAGCGAGTCATCATCTCCAAGGCTACAACACACCATTAAAGCCAACACATTCATTTTACATCTCCGCGATCAGGCTTGTTTTCTCCTCTGTTCTCATCCTACTGCCCATATGGGGCCACATTCCCCATCTGTGTGTTCCTTTCATTCTTCACTGTTGAGATTTTAACTTATATGATTATAAAAAATTATCATCAGGGTCAAGTCTTGGTTTGATCATGTGCTTTACTTTCGAGAGCACTCAACATCTTTTCTCCTAACACTGAGAGCTAGGAGGATGTGTATTCCACACATTTTACAGGTAAAATAAGAGCACGGGGTTTATAGCAATTAGTTTCCCTTGAGCTGCCTTCTGCATGTTATTATTTTTTTTTTATTAAAAAAATTTTTACTTTTTGGCCATACTGAGCAGCATGTGGGATCTTAGTTCCCAGAACAAGGATTGAACCTGTATCCCCTGCATTGGAAGTGTGGCATCTTAACCATTGAACCACCAGGGACGTTCCCATCTGCTTATTAATGTCTCATGGGCAGCTGTCAACTTCCCAGGGCAAAATCAATTTCCTGTTTTCCCTTCTCTTCTCTCCCTTCCTGCTCTTTTCTAAAGTCTTTCCCAGTCATTCCCATGTCAATAGATAGAAACCCTATTCTTCCTGTTTCTGAGGCCAAACACCCCTCACATCACCTTTGCCTTCTCTTTTGTCCTACTCTTTACAAATTTCCATCAGCAAATCATATGGAATTGACCAGTGGCCTGCATCACCAATGCTACCTTTGGATTCTAGGCACAAAACTCTTTTGCCTACATTTTTGTAATACTTTCCTGTGGTGGTGGTTTGGTCGCTAAGTCGTGTCCGACTGTTGTGACCCCATGGACTGTAGTCCGCCAGGCTCCTCTGTCCATGGGATTTCCCAGGCAAGAATACTGGAGTGGGTTGCTATGTCCTTCTCCAGGGGATCTTCCCGATTCAGGGACTGAACTCATGTCTTCTTAATCACAGACAGGCTCCTTCACTGCAGGTGGATTCTTTACCACTGAGCCAGGAGAGGAGTATAATCACTTCCTAACTGGCCCTTTTGTTCTGGACTATTTGTACTCAACGTAGCATCCAAAGCGGTTCTTTCTATATATACCTGTGTCACGTCTTTGCTCAAAACCTTCTAAAGCTCTGCATTGACTGTAGCTACAAGAGCTTACTGATCAGGTCCCCCGTCTTTCTGACCCCTGCTTCCTTGCCCTTTCTGTTTCCACCACCATGGTTCCTTATTATTCTACAACTATGCTGAATAAGGTTTTACCTAGAGCCTTTGTACTTGTTCTTTTTCTGCCTGGAATGGATTCTCTCATATTTATATATCTGTGAATCTCTCATAGATATGTGCATATTATTTCATAAATGTCTCCTATCTTTATTAGAGAGACCTTCCTTAACTTCCCTATATGAAATAACAAACTGTTTATCCCCTCTCCTAAACCTCCTTACTCTTATTTTTTTTCCCAAAGAAATTATCACCCTCTAAACCTTTATTTATTTTTTTTCCCTTCTTCTTACAGGAGTATAAACTCCATGACGGCAGGGACTTAACCTGGTCACTCCTATATTGCCTGGGGGTAGCCCGGCACTACACCTGTCCCATAAAGTATTTGTACTTAGAAATACTTGTTGAATGAATGAATGTGAGTTAACGA